GAGAAAAGAGAAGGGCCTTCCAGCTGGTATTTATCAAAATGTAACCTGAGGATTCCTTGTGTTAGAATCTGAGGAGGCTGCATTTGAACTAGATCTTGAGGAACTGACAGGATTTTCACAAGCAGAGGTGGAAAGAGGGTTTTCCAGAAAGATAAAACACTCCCTTCTCTCAACCCTTACTGTTGTTACCTAGGTAGCCATTTTGTCTTCTTTCCCTCCCAGTTCCACATCATAAAATAGCCTCCACTCATTCACCACCAAGTTGCTTGACATATGTTTGGAACTAGATGCTCTAGCCAGTCAGAGACTGCCATTGGTTACTTTTGTATTGACTCACTCAGGTTTCAGACTTCTAATAGTCTCAATTTAAATGCACTAACCCAAAATGCAAACCATCATTTCAGGCCATCCCCAGTCATCTACAAGGTCTTAGGACTGGTTTCTCAAAGCAGTGGTCTGTAGACCACCTGCATCATAATGGACGATGGAGCCTCTTAAAATACACATCCTAGCCTGGCCAGAGTGGCTCAGTGGTTGAGTGTCAACCTATAAACCAGGAGGTCAGGGTTCAATTCCCGGTCAGGGGCATGCAGGAGGCAGTGGATCCATGATTCTCTCTTATCACTGATGTTTCTAGCTCTCTCTCCCTCTCATTTCCTCTCTGAAATCAATAAAAATATATTAAAATGCACACCCTAGGGCAGTGATGGCGAACCTATGACACGCGTGTCAGAGGTGACATGCGAACTCATTTTTTTGGTTGATTTTTCTTTGTTAAATGGCATTTAAATGTATAAAATAAATATCAAAAATATAAGTATTTGTTTTACTATGGTTGTAAATATCAAAAAATTTCTATATGTGACACGGCATCAAAGTTAAGTTAGGGTTCTTCAAAATGCTGACACGCCGAGCTCAAAAGGTTCGCCATCACTGCCCTAGGGCCTCACTCCAAGGCCACCGAATCGGAATCTCTATAATTATGGTCCAAGGATCTGAATTTCAACAAGTTTTTCAGGTGGTTCTGAATCACACTGAAGTTTGAGACATATTGAGGGGTGCAGGCAAAAGCAAACGTACACATGTACAGAAACAATGTGAGTGGAACCTGAGGTGCATGAATGAAAGAATGTGTGTCTATAAAAGTAAGTTGAGAGCAGAGCTTGGAAGACCTTCACTGTCAGTCAGGGGATTGACTTGGATTTTACTGGCAATAGGGAGTTAACTATTCCTTTCCGTGGCACAGTAGCTTGGTTAAGAGCCTGAAATCTAGAGCCAGACTGCCAGGGTTTAATTCTTAGCTTCTTGATTCACTAGCTACATGACCTTGGATAAGGTGTTTTTTAAAATTTGTTTTTCCATTATAGTTTACATTCAAGATTATTTTATATTTGTTTCAGGTGTAGAGCATAGTGGTTAGAGACAATCACATACTTTACAAAATGTTCCCCCCTGATATTTTCAGTATCCTCCTGGCACCATACATAGTGAAAAAAGTGAAGGATTAATAAGTACAAATTGGTAGCTACAAAATAGTCATGGGGATGTAAAGTACAGCATAGGGAGTATAGTCAATAATATTGTAATAACTATGTACGGGACCTTGGACAAGGTTTTAACCTCTTCCTGCTTCAGTTTCATCATCTATAAAATAGGGATCATGGGATTAAATTAGCTCATATTTGTAAAGTGCTTAGAATTGTGACTGGAATATAGTTAAGTATATGTGTCAGCATAAAGACTTTAGAATAGGGGTGTATCATGGATAAGGCTATCTTTTGGGAAAATTAAGCTGGCAGTAATGCATATTCATTTCCTACTAGAAAATCCTATAATTTTTCCTTCTAAGTGGTTATCAATGTTAGCTGCACACTGGAATTACCTCTGCCCCGCCCCCAGGTCTGGACTTAAATATATCAAGGTAGCCCTAGCTGGTTTGGCTCAGAGGATAGAGCATCAGACTGTGGACTGAAGGGTCCCGGGTTCAATTCTGGTCAAGGGCACATGTCTAGGTTGCAGGCTTGATCCCCAGTGGGGGCGTGCAGGAGGCAGCCGATCAATGATTCTCATCATTGATGTTCCCATCTCTCTCTCCCTCTTCCTTCCTCTCTGAAATCAATAAAAATATTTATTTAAAAATATATATCAAGGTAATTCCAATATGTAGACATGGTTGAGAACCAATGTTCTAAATATATTTCAAATTTGTCCATTTTTTGTTACCAAATCCTCACTATATGCAAGACCCTATGCTAGGTCCTCTTCCTGCATGATCTCATTTGAACCTCACAACTATTTGGAGGTAGGTGTTAAATTTATCCTCACTTTAAATATTGTTAGAGAGCTGGAATACGTTGCTCATAATAACCCAGGTAGAAAGTAGCAGGGCTGGGATGAGAACCAAGGCAGCCTGGCTCTAGAGGCTCCATTTGAACCACTACTTTGCACTGTGCCTTTAGACCAGTGCACACTCCCACACTAGTGAGACTCCTAGACTCACCTTTTTCCTGGTCTCTCCACTTGCTTTATTGCCTCCCTCCAATCTAATTTGGACACAACAGCTGGTGAGATCTTTGAAGTCATAACAGCATCATGTCATGCCCCTTTGTACAACTTTCCAATGGCTTCCCAATGCACTTAAAAACTGAAATCCAGACTCCTTCTTATGGCCTTGAATAGCCTGCATGGTACGTTCACCTCTCAAGCCTCATCTCCTGCCAATTTTGACCATAAACACTATATTCCAGCTACACTGATCCTTATATTCCTTGAACACTCTAAGCCAGTGATGGCAAATCTTTTGAGCTTGGCCTGTCAGCATTTTGAAAAACCCTAACTTAACTCTGGTGCCGTGTCACATATAGAAATTTTTTGATATTTGCAACCATAGTAAAACAAAGATTTATATTTTTGATATTTATTTTATATATTTAAATGCCATTTAACAAAGAAAAATCAACCAAAAAAATGAGTTCGCATGTCACCTCTGACACGCGTGTCATAGGTTCGCCATCACTGTTTTAAGCTCTTCTCTGCCCAAGGCCTTTAAACTTGCTTTTCTTTCTGCTTAGAATGATCTACGCACAGGATGTTTGCATGGATGGCTCCTTTTCATTTTTCAAGTCTGAGCTTAAATGTTATCTCAGAAAGGCCTTCCCAATCATTCAACCTAAATGCCCTCACCTCTTATTCTCTATATCAGTCCTTTGTTGATTTTCTTCATAGTACAGTTGTCCCTCAGAATTCCCGGAGGATTGGTTCAGGATCCCCCAGCGGCTACCAATATTTGAGAATGCTCAAGTCCCTCATATAAAATGTGTATTTGCATATAACCCATATATACATATAGGTTACACCAGGGTATGCCTATATAGCACTTCAATCTGTAGTTAATTGAACCTGCAGATGCATACTGCATGGATATGGAGGACCAAGTGAAATTAAACTGTTCATATTTAGATATTTGTTTACTTTTTGTACATTCTTTGTCTTCTCTGTTAAGATGTAAGTTCCATAAGAGCAAAGAACATATCTTTGCTGCTCTATATGCCAGATATGGTTTTACAGGTTGTGACTCCACAAGGGTGCCACAGCTAAGGTGGTGTATTCACAAGGATTTTCTGGCAAATGGAAGCAAAGTATCTTAAGTAAGAGAATCCCTTTTGTAATTTGCATAAAGATGCTATAGAGTCTTGGAGGTGCCCTGTGTGTGCACTATATTCAATAATATCTATTCAGCTTCTAGCACAATGTTGAGCATACAGTAGATGCTCAATAAATATGTTGATTGAATGAAAGGAAAGAAGACAAAAGCAGATACTGCCACAGGGAAAATGGGAAAAAGGAGGGACACAGAACTGCTAATAGATTTGGTAATTTGAGAATATGCAATAAAGGGGAAATTAATGGTGGTTATGTTTGATCTTAGAAGCCTAGAAACAATAGTGGTGTCATTCAATATTAAATAAATGGAAGTCAAAGAAGAAAAAACTGTCTTGAGAAAATTACTATTCTATTTTAGATATAATTTGAGAAAATAATGCTTTACATATTACTTTTATTGAGTTTATCACAATACCGCCATGGGGTTTTATGAATACACTAGAGGCCCAGTGCATGAAATTTGTGCAGGAGAGGGCCCCTCAGCCCGGTCTGTGCACTCTCGCAATCCGGGAGCCCTCGAGGGCCTAAACCAGCAATTGGACATCCCTTTCACCATCCGGGACCGCTGGCTCCTAACCGCTCACCTGCCTACTCACTCCTAATTGCTCACTTGCCTGACTGATCACCCCTAACCCCTCTGCCTGGCTGCCTGATCGCCTGTAACCACTCTAACTGACTGCCTGCCTGATTACCCCTAACCCCTCTGCCTGCCTGCCTGCTTGATCGCCCCTAACCACTCTTCCTGCCTGATTGCCCCTAACGGCTCTGCCTGCCTGATGGCCCCTAACTGCTCTGCCTGACTGCCTGATCACCCCTAACCACTCTGCCTGCCTGCCTGATAGCCTCTAACAGCTTGCCTGCCTGGCTGCTCAGTGTGCGTTATAGCAACCGGTCGTTCCACCGTTCGGTTGATTTGCATATTACCCTTTCATTACATAGGATATAAATTTGCCCTGCACAATCTTCAAAATAGTTATGTCAATGCTTTGCAAGGCCCATTCTGTCTTTTAAGGCATGGAAATGGCCTGCATTTTACAATACAATAATATGGGGACCAAACTAGAAGGGATTAAGGAAAGAGAGAATAAGACATGCATTTTCACAGTAGATGATTCCCACCCCACCTCTCCTGCCACACTCCTGTGGTTTCTATAAGGTGGTGGCCCTTAAAATCAGTGCTTTTATTTTTTTTTCTGCATGAAAGCATCCCTACAAACTAAAGCTACTACAGAAAGTTGACTCTTCCTAGAACACTGGGCAGATATTTTCCTCTCTTCTAAGTCTTGCTACTCAGATTGGCAGCACCTTGGGTCTTGAGATATAGATGGGATACCTACCTCTGCATACCCGGCAGCAGGAATCTGGAACAGAGACAGGGAATGCACAGCTTAATTTGGGGCAAGTCTTGAGACCACAGTACACATTTCCCTCCTGCCAAGAAGAAACAGAATTAAGGTCAGAAGGCGGCTTAAAGAGGTACCTGGAATGAGAAGAGGCTCAAAACATGGCATGTCCTTCCACACTGGTCTCCCACAGTTGGTTCTAGGTACTTTCTAAATTTTACTAGGTATTACTTTGTTCTATTCACTATTTTACCACACCAGAGATTAAGAAAGAGAAGAATTGTCAATCTTCTTTGTGCATCCTGGTCTAAGATATCACAAAGTGGTCAGTGTGAGGACTGCCATGGGCCTCCAAACCACCAAATACAGTCTTGTTCCTCTGTCCTCTGATCATTGTATCCCTTGGTCCTCGTCATACTTCAGCTGGATGTTGGGGATTTTGGGGAATGTGGATTTGCATGATAGCCACCTTTTGTAACTCTCACTAGTCTCTCATCCAAACCCAAGATACAAGCTCTCTGGGGTAATACAAGACTATACAAATGATCTGAATTGACAGCTCAGTCAAGCACAAGGCAAAGGAGAGGATAAAATTTACTTGCTGTTATGCCTGTTTTTGCATAATCTACATTCCCTAAAGTTCTATGTTCCAAACATTATTTTTTAAGCCTTGTTCTTAGTTCTTAGAAGCATATAATTCTGGGGCTAGAAGGGTTTCTAAAAGTTCAGGAAGGCAAGATCACAACCAAATTATCCCAAACTACTGAGATACTATATTTTTACTAAAAACCCCTATGGATCTGGATCTTCCAAGGCGTCTGATGTCTGAAGTACACAATCTCGAACTTGAAAATCCCTGTAACTCATATTTGTGAATTATAATCACCCTTGGAAATCCAGCATTAAATGCCCCTTAGAGGAAAAACAGTTGTTTCTACATTTAACTTCATTCCCTAACACTTCAGTTTAAATACTCATTTAACTCCATTTTCTGGTTCTATCTATTTCATTCTCTGGACTGCACAATTAGATGAAGATATAATCAGTATACTTCATTGCTTAAGTATATACACTCTTTTGACAAGTAATGTCACAGGATCAGTCATGTTTTGTCAAGAGAGTTCTCATTGAAGGGCACCAGGTATGAACTGGTCAATGGAATACTTCAGAGATGAAACTAAGAAACTGCCTATTTTCTTGTGAATTTCACTGAATGGCCCTAGATCGTGCCAGTGACTTTTCCACCCATAGTATCTATCCCTAAAGCTTCAAATGAAGGCTTTACTGCTGTAACTACTGTTTTTTAAAAAGTGCATATCAAGACCACCAATTCATCACTGTCCTTTAAGCAGTCCCAAAGCTTTAAGACCAGAATATGACTGGGTCTGACCTCTTCAACAGAGTTATTCAGGGTGGATGAAATCAGGGTGTCTGGATTGACAGGAATGCTATGATTTAAATGCAATTCATATTCCATTCAAACACCCTACAATGCAAGCTCAAACTAAAGGTATTAGTACAGAGGAAGCTTTCTTATTTGGGTAGGGGCTATCAGGAACGTTAAGATGCAGGGTCTTACCGAACAGCTGCACTGGGTGCACTGATTGGGTTGCCGGTTCTGAAAGAGTCCTTCAGCCATGAACAGCTCACCATGTTGGTAAGTGGTCCCATTGTACTCACACGACTTGCTGGTTACCTTATTGTTCACTGGGAGTAAGGAGTCTTCTGGGACAGGGTGGAGAAAAAAACATACCAAGTATTGGCATCATTGCAAAGAATTTCATAAATCCCAACAGTAGATGGGGCTGTACCACACTGAGGGCATTAAAAGATAGTCCCTAATTCAGTGGCTGATGATGAAAAAATACAGACATGCCTCACTTTATCGTACTTCACTTTATTCTGCTCCATAAGTGTGTATATATATATATATATATATATATATATATATATATATATATATAGAAGGCATGAGCCTCCACCCGCAAAAAGATTACAACTTGCTTTATTGTGATACTCGCTTTATTAAAGTGGTCTGGAACCAATCCCACGGTATCTCTGAGATATGCATATATTAAAGCAGCCAGACAAGAATAGTAACTGACATGACCATCATCCACTTGTTTCATTTGTTGAGCATTTATTGAACAACTACTCTCTGTGATAGGCGTTAGAGAGAGACCAGATAAGGAGGACAAGGACCTTGCATTGATGGAGCTAACATTGATGGAGCTAACAGATCTATAGAAATAAGGTATTAACTTGCCTAGAAGGAGGGATATATATATATATATATATATATATATATATATATATATATAATATGCTAAGTGTTTGACCGGTTGCTATGATGTGCACTGGCCACCAGTGGGAAGATGATCAACACAGGAGCTGCTGTGATGTGCACTGGACATTTACAAGAAATGGCATTGCAGACCTAGTGCCCACAAAGCAACACTTGGCTTCCCCCAAGTGGGACACAGGCCCCACCACCACCCTGGAGCAACACCCCACCAAATCATAGCCGAAGCTGCCGAGACCCCGTGGTGTAAAATGCAGCCCACAGCCCAACCTAGCTTGGAAAAGGTCGCTGTGGGAGCCGGGTAATGATGTCACATAGAAATGCCCAGCTTCCTTTCCCTAACTATGACTAGCCTCCTTGCAGTTTCTTCAGCCCAGTAACACAACTTGCTTTATAGCCAGGTGGAAACATTTACACTTTAACCAAATTTCTGTGAAGTGTTTTCCCATGCCTCATCTCATTTGATCCTCACAGAAGTCCTGGAGTAGGTAGATAGGAGACTTGGTGGAATCCTATTTTCTTTACATTAGCTGGAAAACAGAGATTTAGAAAGCTTAGAAACTTGACCTGACTGAAAAGAAATAAGAAATGGTGGACCTTGAAAATGGCTTCAGGTTTTCTCACTGCACAGAATATAGTAAAACACTGCTACAGTTAAATATTTTACCCTTTGTTCTCCCTGCATGATCTACAATAATAATCTGCTTCATGTTGATATTTACTGCTGTGTTTCTGACAATTACCTGAAAGAGAAGTTGGGGTGCTTCACCAGTCTGGAAAAAGTTTAGCTAAATCAGAAAGCAGGTCTAATTAAGAAAATTTATCTATATCCTATATAATAAAGAGGTAATATGCAAATTGACCATCACTCCAACTCACAAGATGGCCGCCCCCATGTGGTCAAAGATGGCCTCCCCCTTGTGGACACAAGATGGCCTGCAGGGGAGCTCAGTTGTGGGCAATCAGGCCAGCAGGAGATCCAGTTAGGGGTGACTGGGCCAGCAGGGGAGAGCAGTTGGAGGCAACAAGGTCGGCAGGGGAGGGCAGTTGGGGATGACCAGGCCTGCAGGGGAGGGCAGTTGGGGGAACCAGGCCTCCAGGGTAGGGCATTTGGGGGGACCAAGCCTGCAGGGGAGGACAGTTGGGGGCAACCAGGCTGCAGGGGAGGGCTGTTGGGGGTCACCAGGCCAGCAGGAGAGGGCAGTTGGGGGGGGCCAGGCCTAGCAGGGGAGGGCAGTTGGGGGAGATCGGGCCAGCAGGGGAGCAGTTAGGTGTTAATCAGGCTGGCAAGGGAGTGGTTAGAGGGTGATCAGGCTGGCAGACAGAAGCTGTTAGGGGCAAGCAGGCAGGCAGGCAGGTGAGTGGTTGGGAGCCAGCAATCCCGGTTTGGAGAGGGATGTCTGACATCCCCCGAGGGCTCCCAGATTGGAGAGGTGCAGGCTGGGCTGAGGGACACCCCTCTCCAGTGCACAAATTTTGTGCACCGGGCCTCTAGTATATATATAAAGCTCTCTGTGGTGCCAATCACACACATGTGTTTCCATCTGTCATTGTCGATTGTGAATTTGGTTGACCCTTCTATTATAGAGAAAGGGCGAATAATGATATTAAAATATTTCTTCTAATTAATTTTCTTTCAATGTGCACAAATTCTTGAACCAGGCCTCTAGTCTATTATAATTACCCTGGTAACTGTATTCCCTACCATGTTTTATATCACTTGGTATGTGTTTGAATGCTTATTCTAGCCTCTGGAATCTTTGGTTATTTTTAATCCCTCCACAAAAATTACACACTCCCTTCCACTCTTTTCCACCCATTGAAGTCCTATCTAATTTTGACAGCTCAGTAAAAGTTCCTTTTCCTACAGGAAGCATTCCCTAATAGCTCCAGCCCCAAATCTGGATCTTTTAAGGTATCTGATGTCTGAAGCACACAATCTGGCACTTGAACATAACTGTAACTCATATTCGTGAATTATAGTCACCTAGCTAACAATTTACAAAGAGATTTCACATACATTATTAGAATGGAGCCTCATAACGACCTTGTCAATCAAATAAGGCAGATTTTTATCTTCATTTTTCATTTGAGGGGAACAAGTTTCTGAGGTTGAAAGACTTATCTGAAGTCACCAAGCTAGTGAGTGATGAAAAAAGGAATGGAAATCTTAATCTCCTCATCCTAAATTCCATCTTTCTTTCTAACAGCACATGTATACATGTGTATGTATTGTTTTTTGAGGACTGGAACTCTTCCTTATATAAATATTTTCTCCATGGAATCTAGTGTAGGATTGTAGCAAAAAGTCAATGCACTTGGTGAGTTGACTCTACGTGAATGATCTCAAAATTCTTTTCACTGGACTTTCCCAAAGTGCATGGTGCATCTGCATGCAAATACACACACACACACATACACACACACACCAAACAACAGTGAACAAGTTCCCATATTAAACTAACCATTGATGTACGAATTAATAAAAGATGCAAGCAGAGCTTGGAAAAATGCCTGCTTCAGGATATGGAAGAATATAAATCAGGGAAGTTGTGTTTCATTAGCAGAAGGTTTTGAGAGTTAGAACCTCCTTCCTTTCCCATTAGTCAAAATTATAATGAAAATGAGTCCATCTTATAGGTAAATTATACAACTGTTTAAACTATACAAAATGGCATTATGCTCAGGATGTAGGTAAAAATGATAAAGGGTAATAAAAATAATAATTCAATAGCCAGCACTTATAGAGTTTTAATTAATATGCCAGGCATCATGCTGAGTGGTTTTCTATGCATTATTTTATTGGATCTTACTAATAATGTTGTCATAAAGACACTATAATTTTACCATTTTTGTGATGAGAAAACTAAGGATTAAGAAATTAATTGACTTGCCCCAGGTCATGCAACTTGTAAGTGGTAGCACCATGATCTGAACTGATGTTTGACTGATTCTAGAATCTTCCCTCCTAGCCACTATCAAGGTGGATGTCAATCATATCAAACCTATAACAAGGAAGGTATCATTTAATTAAAAAACCAAAACCAATAGAACATAAAGTTTGTCTTGCCTTCTAGAATGTTTTTGCCTAAAATACCCAGAAAACTGGTATCACACTTTCTTTGGCTTCAGTGACTCTGGTGACTAACTCAATTATATACTTTCCTACATAAACTTATCTAGCTTCAATTTCTGAGTAACTCACCCCTTGGATATTAACTACTTATTAATGACCCCTTACAGACTACAAAGTAAATTCCTTAATTTTGCCTTAAAAAGAAGCAGCTTTAACTCCTAGAAAGAGTTCAACTCATACTAATTGACCCTCTGATCTGGTCTATGAGTCCTGCTCTTGCCCCAAATACACACAAGCAGACAGCTACAACTAGTAGAGAGGAGTGAATGAAACCCACTGGGGAAAGGACAGGAGCAGGGTCATTTGCCCCCTGGGATCTAATTATATAAAATCTCAGTATTTTTTGATGATAGAAAACTAGATGATCTACAAAATAATATTTGCCATGAATCTTACAAAAGCTGGTGAATCTTTGCAATACCAAAAGGAAAAACAGTTTTCAATTACTTTGTCTCAAAAAAATGTGAAATGAGTTTTGAATTTGACCCCCCTAAAGGGATCAAAGGCAAGGCAACCTCAGGGAGAGGTTTTCTAGTGGAAGCATGACCTTGAGAGTCTTTCTTACAATAGTCTTCGGAGTAACCTGGCATTGAAGTTTATTAGTCAATAAGAGATGGGGGGAAAGCAAAAGAGAGGAAGATAGAACAATAAAGAAAGAAACCACTTATTTCATGTTTAATACTTGTTTTATACAATAAATCTAACATCTTCCCATTTATTCTTATTGCATTTTCTACTGTCCCTAATGGGATGGGGGGGGGGAGGAATAATGAAAATGAAGCTACTAATGTCCCAAAAGTTTAGGCCCATGTTACATAGCTTTTTATTAGGAGAGGCAACTCAGAAAAATAGCTTTTGTACTTCAAAATGTGTGCTATTTATGTTATAACTAGGGGAAGAAAAGAAAATTGGTACCTGGAAAGATAACTGTGCTCTCATGTTTACTGCAGCTTTTTCCACAATAACTGACTATATATACATACATACATATATATATGTATGTATTAGAGGCCTGTTGCACGAAGAGATTCGTGCAATAGGCCTTCATTTCCCCTGGTTGCTGGCACCGGTTTGCCTCCGGCACCATGGGCCCAGGCCTTCGCTCTGGCCGAGTTCTGGCTGGAGCCCGCCCCAGAAACGTCAGGCTTCACTGCTCTGCCGGCCCAGGAAATGTCAGCCCTTGCTGCTCTGCCCACCCCGGGGCCGTGAGGCCTCGCTGTTCCGCTGGCCCCAGGCCATCAGGCTTCACTCTACAGCTTGGAGCCTACGTATGCAAATTAACCGCCA